ATAAAATTGAAAAAATTATTAAAGAATCGTCTACCTGGAGGACCTCGCGGACCCATCGGGCCTACTTGTGCCTGAATGTAAGGCAATGACGCCGCTGCACCGGACGGACCTTTATCTTCATTTGCTTGAGACAAAGCCAATTGTTGATAATAAAGAGATACCTATTATATATCAATATTTTAAATACATTAATAAATACATTAATAAATTATTATTATATATTAATATAAATTATGCGGCATACATATTCAATTATTAATAAATAATTCATGCGTATCACTCTTTAAATAATATAAATAAACGAAAACAATTTTAAATTATAAAAAGATTTCTCACATCAGGTACAGGTCCTGGAGGTCCAGGTGGCCCTGGGATCCCAGGTGTACCAGGTTGTCCAGGATATCCTGAATCGCCAGGACGACCATCATCTCCAGGTCGACCAGGTGAACCCTAATTTATAAATGTTACTTTTTTGTAAATTGTTATATTTTTTTCACATAACTATTTATTATAACTATAAGTTTACGAACTCGTGGTCCTGGTACAGCCACAGAACTATATATGTTACTTTCACCTGGTAAAATCTCCGTAGGTAAAACCTGAAAAAAAAACTAACAATCACTATTCCTTACATAATTGGATTTCTTTAATTCTTTAGTTATCAAATAGTTTGTACTTACTGAATGATCTCGAGCAGATGTGGAACTAATCTCATCTAAATTTGTAGAATAATCAAAGTTTAAATCTCAAAGAACATGAACAAAAGTATTTTTATTCTAATTATTTATTTATACTCTTGTTTTTTTTATCATAAAAATAATTTTCCAGTTAATTTTATATATCTACCTGATCTACCATGATCATAAAAGTGAGTTGTCGTAGGAGCTGGTAAATCTGTAGGTGTTTTTTCTCGCCTCAAAAATGCTTCTGTTGTTATTTCGGATCTCTCTACATTGAATAATTATATATTATTGTTTATAATTATAATAATTGAGTTACAATAATTATTGAAAATAATTGTAACTCAAAATAATTTTGTAATAATTTTTTGTCGTATTATAATAATAAAACTTTCGCTTACCCGGAAGTTGCGTGATATCTGATGGTATTGCACGTGATGGTAATATTGTTGTAGTTTCTACAAAAATATCTTTATTGTCATTAAGTGAAAAAAATAAAAAATTATTATTATCAATGAGAACTTATTGCATATAAACAAATATAATGTATCTAATGTACATAAATATAATGTATATCTAAATGTATATCTACGTAAATTATCGAATGTTATAGTCTTTAATATCTGCGAGGAATCAAAAACTAAACCGGAAGCCATCTCTTATAACTGTGAATCGTATTAAATTGGATTTGCAATTAATAGATTGAAATAAATGGTATTAATTAGATTACTCTGAGAGAGAAGATTAAAACAAGATTAATTATTTTATGTGACCCTTTTAACGAGATTAATCTGTAACGCAAAACTTCCGAGTCAATTAACGAGACAGAATTGAATAATTGTTCTCCACTTACAATTATATTTTACTTATTTTGAAATAAAATTAGTTAAATAAAATAAAATAAAATAAAATTAGTTAAATAAAATAAAATAAAATTGTTATTGTAGTTATTAAGTATAATAAATTTAATTTGCAGATTATTGGAAAAGACAACAAAAATGATACAAAAGTCCAAAAGACTTTTGAAAATTAATAAGAATTGCTCTTTTAATTCAATCCTTAGCTAACATATTCATGAAAACAATTCATAAAAAGTTCGATTTGTATTCCCAATGTGCCGAATATTCCGTAAGAATTTTCACAGAATATTTAAATATTAAAGAAATATTCAGAATATTATATGAAAACTTTTTGTATAAGTACATCACAAAAATCATCACTCACGAACATTACGCATTCTAATAGACAAAGAGCCACGGCAGAGATATATTAATTATTAATTGGTAAATAAAAACTATATTAAGAAATATATAGTAAAGGGCTTATCATTTCACTTATAAAATGAGTCCCCAACATTAGGATTTAAGGTAACAGTATTATAAATGAAATATCCCTGGCGGAAAAATTTTATGAAAAACTACAATAAATTGAAACAAGATCTTAGAAATTTTTAATTTTTTATAAATATTCGTAGTGAAACATAAAATAGCGTTGTTTGTTTTAAAAACCAAGAAGTCCTTCGCCCTTAAATAACGATACTTTATGTTCCACTACGAATATCTAAGAAAAATTAAGAATTTCTAAAATGTCTCAAACTATGGAGTTTTTCTATACTTTTCCGTAAACATTTGTTTCTGCCAGGGATATTTTTGACAGTACAATTTTGTTTAAAAATTAATTCAGGGTCTTTGGACTTAACATTTCTACAAAAATTATAATTTATATATATATATATATATGGAACATTTTTCAAATATATAATGCATAAATGGAATATTTAATAATTATTTAAATATTACTCTTACATTCTAAAAGTATTTCGGAATATTCCGGAATACTCTTGGAATTATTATTTTGAGATTTTAAGAACATTTCACGAATATTTCAGGAATATTTAGCATTAATTGGGTGGTAATCTTTCTTCTTGTGCATTGTATGTGTAAAATTTTTTTGAACATTCATAGGACACTCACCGTTCTTTTCATCGTATTCGTCGTAGTTCTCGTAGTTATAATCATATTCATAATCGTTGCTAGACTGCTGAGCCTGATGCTCTTGCGGTTTGGATCGTTGTTTCCTTAGTCTGTGTTTCATGGCATTCACTTGATCCGGCAAAGGCAACAACAGCTGAACCACGAGAAGTCCCGTGATCAGCTCTAAAGCCCGCCGTCTCATCGTGAAGTCCCTCTATCCGGCAGGGGTGGAAAAACTTCACTGAAGAACGAAGAAAATATAGATTCTAATTCCGATTCGCTTGCATCGCAAGACTGAAAGCAACTAAACTCATAACAACCGGCGTATCATCTATTTAGCAGATGTTCTGCATGATGTAGGGGAGGTCGTCATCCGCTATTTTACAAGATGCACGCGGTTCTCCCGCTGTCTTATTCCATGATCACCTCCTTACCATCCCTCCATCTGATCTGTACACTTCTTTCCTTCCTTCTTTGTTTATTCTCATTTACCAATGTTGTTATTTCTTTCTCCTGAATAAGATAGGGAAGAGAAATAGAAGCGTGTTTAAAATCATTTAACAGAAAATACATAGGTAAGATTTTAAAATGATTTTTGTTATATCAAGATTATTTTTTTATTTTAATTAGATTATCAAGTATAACGTTGATATATTGCAAATACTAAAGGATAAAATAGAATTCAACAAAATTCTTTTTTGACTAAATTTTTTCGTGCTTTTAAAGAATATTTAATTTTATATAAGTGTGTATATATTTTTTAAATCAAACATAAGTCTTCATAAGCAAAAAAAATTCATCAGAGGAAGTATTGATCAATATCTACTATGATCGTTTAATTTCGACTTGCATGATTTGTCCAAAAGTTTCAAGATTGAATTAAGGAAAAATTAAAAAAACAAAAATATAGCAATTTTATTAATAAAAACTTTTAATATAATCAATCACTTTAATCAATCATTTTAATTAATCACATTAAAGGCTATTTCGAATCAATTCACCTAAATATCCAAAATATCATCAAAACGCATCCCCTTTATTTGAATTTTTCATTTCGGAAGTCAAATATCAAAGAAAGCAACTATCAAATATCAAAGAAAGCATCTTAATTTTGAATTCTATCATCTTTATTTTGATTAATTTTGCTTTCCATGAAAAATCAATCTAGGAATATTGAAACAAAATTAAAATGCAAACTAAAGTTGGCCAATTTCTAGATTTGAATTTTAGACAAAATTTAATAAGAGGTATTTTACACTATTTTATTATGAAAATTTTTACAAAGAAAAAATCTAACGAAACTTACACATAGAGTATTTTTTATATAAAAAATATTCAATATTAAATTTCAGTTCTTGAAATATACAGCGCCGTAAAAATATCGTACGAATAATCTAATATTGATTAAAGATACCATAATTGTCGGAAAAATGGCATTATTTAAATTGTGCGTTCAAAAAAAAATTAGTCTCGGAAGTCTTTTTAGTATTTAGCTGTAAATTAACTTAGATTAATATTTCAAATGATAATTATTTAATTATTAATATCTTATTTTTGGTTGCAATATTTACAATAAATGCACGAAATGTAAAAATTATATTTAAATACATTTTGAAAGTTCTCGTTAAATAATGCGGTGAGTTCATGGAAGTCTGAAAGAGTTCATGTCAGTATTGTCAGCGTAGAACCATTATTCCGCATATTGTCAGAAGCAGTAGGACATCGCGCAATGGAGGTCATCACCTTACGTTTAAGGGTTGCATACGACATACATAGCGTGGCGCCGTTGTCATTACATTCAATTTTTTAATTAACATAAGTTTTCTACGGGTTGAGATCTAATTGTAATATAGGTAATTTACATCTCAAAGTAAAAAGTAATACAATCATTTATTCGTTCATATTTTTCTCAGCTTTTACTCAACTATAATTATAAAAATTAATTCATATTCAGCTGACATAAAATTTAATTCATCTATTTCCATTTATCTCCTAATAGGTAATTAACAAACTTAAATAAATAATCGTTATATATTACCTACATGATCTAACAAAGTAATTATCAAACTTGTAAGTATACTATCACATCAAATTAAAGAGATATAATAGCACAAAATAAATTTAAAATTAAATTAAACTAGTATCTTTATTAAAAAGTTTTTTTTCTATACAAATTAGGACATAACTTGTTTTATTTTTTTTTTTAATTATTTCGTTTAAGATTTTTAGAGAAAAACTTATAAAGCTTTGTAGAACTTTCTAGTAATATTGAGTGAATCAGTTACGTTTTGCTACAACTACGTATCCTTGCGTTGAACGAATGCATTCAATCCGTTGAAACATGAGTTGCTACGACCTAGTTTGCGATAAGCGTTCCGCCTCATTTTTATCAGTTAACGTCAAAGAAGCACTCGGGCTTCGATACCAAGATGTTGTCATTTCCACTTAATACGTTTATTAAACGACAATCATCATTTTGGCCGCATTCTCAAAGCGTGCGTGTTATTTTACAAGCCGCAATAGGCTGCATTGACCTGCTGCACCTCCTCCATTTGTTACTGACGACTATAAATCAGAGTTGTTACTATGTATAAAAAAGGGACAACGGGGACAACGTAATTGGCACAATATCATTAGAATTCATATTGATATTTGATTAGAAATGTTATATATGCCCTTGAGACTCGTTTTCTTACTATGATCACATCAAATCATGAAATTAAGAACAAAAAAATCATTTTTTTTTTCTTTTTTCTCATTACAATTGAAAAAAAATTTTTTTCATACGTATTTATAAATTCGTTTTCAATAGAGAAAGAGAGAGAGAGAGAGAGAGAGAGAGAGAGATTCATAGAATATATCAAAAACTATCTCTTTGGGCGATATGCGATGGATCTTATATTCAAGACCGTCTTAAGTATACAATCTTAAGAAGTCACCTACCAATCAAAGGACTGTATTAGCATCTTAAGACATTACTTAAGATAATCTTGAAATAAGAACGGACTATCAATACCGCCCTTTGTATTCCTCTGCGATAGAAAATATATACATATAATTAAGATTCAAAGAATACGCGTTTTTAACATTTTTAGTAAAACAGAAGTTGTGTGATCAAGATTTCATTAATGTATAATTTGAAATAAAATAATTCTTTAAAGTATATTTTATTAATTTTTGTATTATCAAAAGTAATATGTAAAATATGTTAATTTACTTTGATATATATTGCAAAAAACAAATTTACATGATTTCTCGCTTTATAATTAAATGCTTCATAAATAAATACAAGTGTTATAAATTGATTTTATAATATTTTATAATATTTTAAATATATAAGGTAAATTTTATAACTTGACCGGTCTAATTATTATTTTGATGATATAAAAATCAAAATATTTTAATTAATTAATAAAATTATTGAATCTCGAAAATAATTAATTTTAATATAATAATATATTGACTTTGTGCCAAATATTAGAAAACATTAAAAAAAAATTAAACAAAATCTGGAAGCGTTATTAAACAATATATAGAATAAAATCTAAGATACGCTTTTCTATAATCAGCATTGAATCATTTTTATTCTTACAATTAGTATTTTGTACTAAAAATAAATGTGTCAAATGTACATTAATGAAAATTATAAATCTGAGAATCTGAGACGGCCATTAATGCAATCATAATAATGGTAGAATGGTGGAAATAATGGTAATTGCTCTAAATACTATAGTATCCTTCATATGTGCACGCATGATGTTGTCACACACAATAATTTATCTCAGGGAGATATATACAAATAATATTAAATATACATTCATTTAAATTAGAATAAATAAAAATAATTTTTTATAAGACACTTTGCATCAAAGATACTTTATTTCACATTATGATACTGTATTATTTTATATATCATTTTATAATATTTATTATACAAATTTCAAATGTTACTTTTAACGTAAATTATAAATAATTTAATACACATTTTTTATATAATTTAAATAAAATAAAATTGATTAATACAATATATTTAACGATAAAATTAACATAAATGTGTACAAAAAATTACACAAAAATCATAACAAACGTTGTCTTGTCTAAACAATAGATATAAAATATGAAAATTTGAAAATATGGAAATTTTTTTTTCAGTCTATTCTATCTATAAAACATTTCTTTAAAGCGTATCTTATTATTATACAATTCTTGTAATATTATCTTATTATACAATTTTCGTATTATAATAAATGTAAAAGAAAAAATGTATTTCCAAATAATATACATATAGAGAAACAAATTATTCATAATGAACTCTAATAACAGCGGCATTTTTTATTTAATATTATTTGTGATATTATATTATTATTACGACATTAAATTTTTCACTTTGATTTACGATATCCATTTAATGAAATGACAAATACTTGACTGTTGGAGCAGCTTACGTCATTCTGAAATCAATAATAAAATGCACAATAATAAAAAATTTTTAAATAACATAAATTAATCAACTTACTTCAACAGTAACTCCTACAAGTGCATCAGAGTTACGATATAATTCTTTGTGTAAGGATATCGTGATGAATTGCATAAGAGTTTCTTGGGACCGAATAAAAGAAACGACATTCTTAATATTCACTTTATCTAATGCCGCGTCACCTTCGTCCATAATGAAAAATGGTATTTCCCTATAACTGTAAAGAAAAAAAGATTAAAATTATAGGCCACAACACAGACTTTTGCATAACGCATAAGAAAATCAATCAATCAAAGTTCCTCTTTTCAATGAAATGGAAAAAAAAATAAAAGGATTGTAATTGGCTAATCCTCTTATGCACTATGCATTATGCAAAAGTATGCTGCGGCCTTATGTTTTTAACTCTCTCAGGCCCATTTTCACAATATATGATCACCTAAAGATTAATGGTTATGAACAGATTCATCAATGAAATTCATTCATGAATTTCTTGGTTACCTTTAATCTTTAGGTAACCATATATTGTGAAATCGAGCCTTAACATTCAATCGTTATCTATATATTAATTGAAAGCATTCAAAAGCATGTAAAACGTTTCATTAATCTTAGGATTAAGATTATCTTAGGATTAAGATGTACCGTCGAATTGCAAATAATAATGCTAAACTAGCCATTGACTTTTCTCCATCAGATAAATATTGCAATGGTTGAAAGCCTTTATGCGGTGCTATGCAGTTATAAATTATATTGCCTGCATACGGTTCCTCGGGATTATCTGGTAAGATAATTGCTTGAGCCGATGTGTTATTAACCAAATTCTATACAAAAATAAAAATTATAATGTACAAAAAACAAACTACATAACAAACAAAATTTTGAAAACACACATAATTATAAATACTAACTTTATATATAAGATCTATTTCTGCAGTAACGCGTTCCAGACAATCTGAAAACGATTTGTACCTCTTTACCTTCACTGATTCAAATTGCATTTTTATTTCATCATATTTATTACGGTAGTTTCGAAGATTCGTATTTATTTTTTGCATTCGCTGCTTTATAATATCGATCTTTTCATCAACCTATATATTTATCAAAATATATAGAATTGAATTTTAAAAATACAAATCTAATATAAAATATATAACACACATATATATTGTGTAAAATTATAAATATTACATACTTTAAGATTTACTAAATCATCAAATTCATTTTCAATTTTCATAATCTTCTCAATAAGTTGAAGTGCCACATCTCGTAATTTTTCATTTGTAAAATTGCAGATTTCTTTAGGAAATTGTGAGAAATCAATTTTTGTTAATATTTCACAATCTCCTGATGATTCTATACTTGAACTTGAGCTACTTGTAAAAATGCTTTCTTCTAACCTATGTGTTTCTGACATTGGAATATTAATATCTTCCATCTATAAAAATAATTGTATTAAAATCATAAAAATAATTAAACACAATTAATATTGAGAAATCAAACCAATATGCAATATTTAATAAGTCTTTTGCAATAGATCTCTTATCTTTAGATTCTTTAAAAACTCATAGACCTTGCATTCTTTAAGTATAATATTGCATTCTATTTTTATCTGTCGTATTTTTCTCTGTACAGCAATGTGTGCCTTCTGACCCTCCAAATATAATTTTCCATTAACACTAATTTGCGATTTGTATTCAGCTAATTTTTTTGTCACATCCTCCAAATCCTTTGCCACGTTTGTATAATTGTCGTTTAACTTCGACATTTTGGTTTCTTCTTGCTCAACTTTAATCTTTGCATGACGTTCTTGCTGACACACTTTATTCCATTCTGTATCAGCATGTTCTACAGCTTGTTGCCATTTCAATACCTTATCTTTTCACATAAAATTCGTACATATACAACAATATTAATAATTACAGGTAATATACTTCAACAACAAAAAATAGGAAACACTTTCGAACGGTGAAAAATTATCGTAAACAAAAAATAAAAAAAAAAGCTTAAAATCTCTACTTTTGAAAATCGGTAATTCATATTTCAATCTGACTAATCCTTTACGAAACTATACGGACACAAATGGATATCCATGAAATCTGAAAATTTTTTACAAACTTTACAAAGGTCTATGGCGTAAAGTAAAATTCACACAAAAATGTGATTTACAGAAAGAGTGAATCTTTACCTTCAATTTGCTTTTTTATTGAGCGTTATACTTTTTTTTTCATCATCCTGGTGAAAATTTTTCTCATAATTTTTTCTCATAATTTTTATACAGATTGAAACATTTTTCAGAAATATTCAGAAATATTTGAAAAGCTTACATCTTCTCTCAGAATTTTTCATATAAGTGAATTCTGAAATATTCTGAAATTTCTTATCCCATGATTTTTAAAAAGTATTTTTAAATTTTTTAGATTTTATAACATTTCATCAGAAATTATATTTACAAAAAATCATAAAAATCTTACGATATTTCATAATTAACATATATGAAAAATTCTGAGAAAAGATGCAGATTTTCTGAGAAATGTTCCAATTCGTATAAAAAAAGAGAGAAAATTATAAAATTATAGAAATTCTGAAAAATTATATGAAAAATTCTGAGAAAAATTTTCACCAGAGCAGGTTATTAAATGTTGAAGCCAAAATGATTACTTTTGCTTCAATGTTCAATAAAAAAGCAAATTAAAGATAGGCTTGTAATAAAGTTTTTACATACAAAAATTATTTGAAGCATTTGAAACTTAGCTTTAAGCTATACAATGCTTATTTCAAATATCGCTTCATAATCATTTCTCGCAAAGATATATATAAACCTTAATTTTGGTCTTTTTAATGGCTAATTAAAATGATTCTTTAACTTCAAGATAGAATAACTTCGTCAAAATAGTCGTAACGAGATTTTTTAAAAAGCATTTTAAAGGTTGAAACCTCTACTTTTGAAGTCGGTAATTGATATTTCAATCTGACTGATAATTTACGGAGCTATACAGACACAAATGGATATCTATCAAAATTTACAGCAGTCAAAAAGGTAAATCTTTATTTTTAATTTGCTTTTTTATTGAGCGTTGTATGATTTTTTTCACCAAGTTAATAAACATTGAAACAAAATCATTTTTGCTTCAACGTTCAATAAAAAAGCAAATTAAAAGTAAAGATTCACTGTTTTGATTACTGTACATTACATTTTTGTATTATGATTTTTACTTCACATCATAGACCTTTGTAAAATTTATAAAAAATTTTCAGATTTGACAGATATCCATTTGTATTCGTATAGCTTCGTAAAGGATCAGTAAGATTGAAATATCAATTACCGATTTCAAAAGTAGACATTTCAAACTTTCAAATGCTTTTTTGATTTTTTTGTCTGCGATGTGATTTTTCACCGAATTACGACGTTCTGAATGTTACGCATTTTTTAGCGTGTTCGAAAATATTCCCTATTTTTTGTTGGATAGTGTATTAACAAAGATATTATTTGAAAATTTACTTTCTATATCGTTCTCGTTTTCGAAGCGCAATTGATCTTTGATACGATTATATTGTTGCTCAAGCTCCAATTGCCTCGTTTTTTTCTCTTGATAAATTCTAAAAATTGATGTTATTAAATTTATTTTCTTATACATATATATGTATATCTAAATTAAAAATTACACATTAAACTAAAAATTTCATACCGCAAATTATTCTTTTCATAATAGCTAACATCCGGCACATTAATATCGTTACAAAAATCAACAAAGATTTCATTCTTAATTGAATTAATATATTTTTCCACATTTTTAATTTCTTCATTTCTTTTTTGCATATTGTCATCAATTACAACTATTGTCAGCTAAAAGTTTTGTGGATAATGAAAGTATCTTTCTTTACAGATCAATAAAAATTTTTAAGTTATATATGTATATAAATATATTAAAATACATACATTTAATGCAATTTTTTTTCCCTCAACCATATCTAATTCCTTCTGTATCTCAACAATTTCATTTTCCTAGAAATGTAAATTTTATGTATTATAATTTGCTAACAAGTCGTACGTTTATAATAAAATTAAAATATAAACTATTCCTGTCTTTTAATTACACACAGTATCTTTTATATCTGTTTCCACATATTTATTTTGGCATGTGAGTGCATTAATTTCTATATTAATTATATCAACTTCAGATTGCATAAGAGAAATTTTAGGTAAATTTCTGAATTCTCGCATTAATTGTGCCTAAAAAATTGTGCGAATTATATAAATTGTTATGTGTCACTTATTACAATCTTAGAAAAAATTTACAACCTTTTGTTCCATCAATGTTAGTATTCGTTGTTCGTTCCATTGTTTTGCTTTTACAGTTAAATCAGCCAATCCTCCAGACATTAGACCTTTTTTACGATAAAAACATCCATCCAATGAGACACACTAAACGTAATAAATATATAGTAACTTAATATAAATAATGTGTAATAATAAATAAAATAATAAAATATACGTGCGCATACGTGTGCGTGTGCGCGTCATGCATATTGTTAGTTCCTAAAATATTATTTTTAATGTTTATTGCGTTTTAAATATGTATATTATTACATCATATGCTTCCTGTTTATCATCAGGATATGCTAACATTTTTGCATGTTCACTAGTCTCGCAAACTAGAGTATTTTTAGTGACAAATAAAACCGCATTATTTATATGTGGTGATGAAATATTCAATATATCATATAATAATTTAACATTTTGCGGTTCTTCTATAGCACTGTAACAATGTTATATGTTATAGTATACAAAAAAACATTTTTTTTTTCAAATTACATACCGTAATCTTTCATTTAAAATTATGTTTTTTATTGAATCAAGTGGTAAAAATGTTTCAGTGCCTATTTTATCTCGTTTTAAAAGTTGAATACACTGAATTGCTGTGCGCGTGGTATCAACGACAATGGCATTTATATATTGACCAAAAACTTTAGTTACAGCAACATTATAACGTGAATGAATAGGCTTACATAAGTCAAATAAGCGACCATACTAAAAAATAAAATTATATTAACTTTCATAAATTATATCCATTATGATCATTATTTAATTAAATTCTAGTAGTAATTAGTAAAAATACCACGCCAGAGTAAATCTGTTTCAACATATTGATTGTTTCATTTTTCTTATTCCTATGCAAAACACTATTCTTATCAATATCTGCCTCAGAAAGTTCCTCTGTAATCTGTACAATATCATTCTCCAGATTTAACAATTTATTCCTTGTTTCAGTAATTTTTTTATTTAGTTCTTGTATTTTTGCTGTTTTTTCCATTAAAGTTATTTTGGATTTGATACTTGAATCTTGCAATCTTGTGAGTCGCGTTTCGAGATTCGCTTTCTTTAATATCATTTGCTTTTCTTTGTCCTTTAATTCTTCTTTACATCTATTTTCATTATCAAGTTTAGCTTGATCTTCTCGCTGATCATGCATTAAACTTTTTATTTGTTTTACAGAATTCTGTGCTCGAAATTCAACTTCGTTCGTCAATTCCATGTAACGTTTAACCTTACGTATAAATTATTATAGTAAGTAAAAATTTATTATAAAAAAAACCAAAATATTTTTTTCTTAAACTATTATAGTATAGATTTACAGATATTATGTAAATGCTAACAGATATGACAACAGTACAGTATACCTGAGAGTTACTGAGTTCTACAGTGCTCGTTTGTGACGCTTTTCTTAATTCTGTTAATTCGTTGTTTATTCGTTCTATCTCATTATTTAATTCTTGGACGATTCTTTTGTTAGTATCGCGCGCTTTATTCGCATTGTCTAGAGATATGCGAGCGCTTTCACGTTTTTTCTGCCAATATAAAATGTTATCCTCGAAAATAATATGTTCTGTCTTCCTCTGTTCAATTGTATTTTTCATTTTCAAGATATCTTGTTCAATATCTTCGAGGGAACTAGATAATGACTTAAATTGCAATTTTGTATCCTCCATTAAAATTATCACATTCTTCTTGTCGTATAGATACTGATCTATTTGCGATTTGATTTTTCTTTCCTTATCTTGTAAAAATGTAACTCTCCTCTTAATACGGAACAATAGAATTAATTGATATTTTAATTTGTATTTATTCTGTAATATTAAATAATTTATCACGAGCATATGGAAGAAACAAATAATAATATTTTTATAACAACATAAATAATTTATAAAGATTTTTACATATATTATAGACTGAAAATAGATATGTAAGACGTACATGTTGTTCTTTCAGCTTTAAATATTTGTCTGTTTTTACTTTTTCCATAATGGCATATTTTTTTTGAATTAATATCTGTTTTTTCAATTTATCTTCAAAATTTATTTTTTCTGCCATGTTCAAAAGTTCTAATTTTAATCTGTAATATTATTAAAATCTAGTAAGGAAAGATACTTTTTACGTGACCATTGGATCGTTTTATTTCTACATTTTCTTATGTATTTCCCTTTATGATCATAATAATGATATCACACTCAAGGAAAAATTGGTACATTGAAATGAAGTTAATCCTTATTCATCATATAGTTACGAAGTGACTGACAATTATGCTTCAATCATTTAAAAACTTATTCAGAAAGAATTGCTGATCTAACTTAAATTATTTTTCAAATGATCAAATGATATATAACTGATAGCGATTTCCTAATACTTTTTCGTAATGTAAATAAGGATTGTATTAACTTTATTTCAGTGTATCAATTTTTTAAGTTATTATAACTTTCGGTTTCAATAAAAAAAAACATACAAAAATGTAGAAATAAAAAAAGATCTGTGAACAATCGCGAAAAAGTGAAAATTGTATTCTTTTATCGAATTTCACAGCAAACATTGGGTGCGTTCCGAATTATGCACATGAAGCGCATGATGTATTGTTTTATCTTTTTTATTAAACAACAAAGACAAATGATGCATCATTCATTTCATGCGTAATTATATCAAGTTAAGGCGACATTTAATGTGTTTCAAAGTGCGTTTAAAAATGCAATTTCACAGCAATTTCTAAACGCTAGCGGCTCTCCCTACTCTGCATGACATTGACTATAAGTCCCTAGTCATCGTTTTGCCGCTTGAACTTCGGAGACCTTTTTTAGGTCGAAAAACCAAGCAGGGGAATAATTATAAGAAAAAGAAGAAGTTCGAAGAGGCCCAGCGAAAAGTAGACGTGTTTGAATCGTTCCGACAATTAATAATTTTGACCATTTCAAAAAATAAATTTTCGCAATGACAATGGCAGTGAACATTTTCTTATAATTTTGTAAATTAAATTTTCTTGTCATTTTCTTGTAATTTTTGCATAATTGCACATAATACCAGCATTCATTGTTTCCTAATCTTTTTAGCTACTACCGATAGTAATCTATTTCGCAACGTTGCGGACAAAATACTGTCCTACTCTGAGCAATTTAAATGCACTTTGAAATTAATTGTCAGTTTCATATATGAATTAAATATATAAAAAAAATTCTATATTAACGATATTATAAATCCAGCGATTAGCTATTATTTCTTCATGAAAAAGTAGCAGGATTTTAGCGGTTAGCGTTTTGTCGGCGGTTCTTTTGGAGAGAAAACGTACCACAAAGTGGGAGTAGTCGCTTAACTATAGCTAACGCTTTAATGCTGAGTAAAATTGCGCCTTTAGAACAAAAGTATACCTATCATAATCTGCTTTATACTCATTTGAATTAGCAATTTTTTCAAACATTGTGGTCAGATCTTTCGGCTTTTTGATTGCGAAACATGCCATGTAACCTTGAGGTATCAAAAAGTTCTCTACTTTTACATCCAAACCCATTTCTCGCAATTCAGTCATATAACATATATTCGTAACAATCTGTACGATAAAATCTATTAATATCAACTAATATAAACAAGAAAGTAATTTAACAAGACAGTAAACAATGTTGTAAAATTCCACCTTGTCATCTATTTTGTATTGATAGGTTCCACCACGAACTTCCCTTGTGAAACTCTTTTTTTTAATGCCGTATATAGCATTTATATTGAAAATCAATTTTACATACATAACACTGTAACAGTAAACATTAATTATACATTTCAAAATTTATGACTCAAAATACCATAAGTTAATTCTTAAAAAATATTATTTATGAATTTTTACTTTAAGTAATAATTATATATATATAAACCTTTTATATATATATATGTATATACACATATATTATGTACAGATAACTAAATGTAGTCTGTAATTGATGGTAAAACCTCTATATATCAGAAATTATTGCTAAAAATAAAAATTAACGAATAACTTTTTTTACTTCTTTTTTGAAAATTTTCTTTAGCATTTTGAATCGCTAATTTTAGGATACCCTGTATATAATTATTTATTATACAAAAATAAAGAAATAAAATATTTGAATACGCATCTAAAAAAAAATCTAATAGCATGACAAAGTTAATTAAAAAATAAAAAATATACAATATAGTATATTATAGAACCGTATATATGATAACAAAAACTAGAAATAAATGGTCTAGCTAGATCTTAAATGCTTGTATAATTCTGTGTGAATATATATACTACGTACATAGTTCTTTGAAACATCCGCCGAAATGATTTTTCGATAGTTCTTGAAACGCTAATTCTAAATTACTGCAGTAATATCACGAATTAAATTGACTAGCAATTTAACAATTTGATGCTTTTTCGCATTTTCGAACGATCTTAATAATGCTGAGTGACATATTAAAATCTGTAAATAATTAATTCTTATTGCGAAAAATATTACCTCGGCCGGAAATCGAATCCGGATCTCTTACTTTCCGAGCGAGCGTCATAAGCCTTTAGATCACCGAGGCTCGGTTTCAAAGGACTACATACGAATACATAAATTCACACAAAATCATACAAGCATTTAATTCCAACTAAATCATTTAAGGCATTGATTTCTGAAAAAAAAAATATCTTTAATACCATTCTATCGTTGATTCTCTAATAGAAATTCCATAAACGAGTTCGCTGAGGTGTTTAACACGTAAAGCAGTCAGCCCCTCCCCTAATGCAAAACTTATAGCGTCCACAATATTTGATTTTCCTAAAATACACAAAGTGTATCTTGATTTTAATATGAAACAAATAAAGAAAATTTTATAAAATAAAATGAAAGAAAAAAATTTTAATTTAATAAAAAAGATTTTAATTTATTTTATCTTAAAATAATCTTAGTTATTATTTTATTAAACTAAATTAAATAAAATAATAAATGTTGTTAAATTAAATATACATAATCTATATTAATAATTTTAATAAATAGCTAATTTATTTAATATATAATTATAAACATATATACATTAATTAGATTTAACATATAATTACTTAAAAGTGGAGAAATAAAAACATTTAAATACGCTAGAAAATAATTTTTTTGTTTTAAATCAAATAAAATGAATGTTGTAGAAAACATAAGAATCTCACCGGCTCCATTTGGACCAATTATTGCTGTAAACGGCTGAATGGGACCGATTACCGTTTCTCCACCATAGGACTTAAAGTTGGAAATGACGATTCTATTTAAAGAAATCGACATTGTTAAAGTAAAACATTTATCAAATACGAATAGATCGATGAGCAAATGACCGTTGAAAATCTGAAAACTCAGAATTCGAAATAAGGATTACCAATTTGCACATACCGAAGTCACATTGTGGGGAAGTGCACATTCCTGGATTGCGTTCCAAAATTCAACTCTGTCGACTCAAGTATCATTTTATCTTTGTCGGTCATCAAATGTTGAATAAAGATAAAAGATACTCATTGTTGACAGAGTCAAGTTTTAGAACGCAGTTTGGAACCCTGAGTAATTTTTTCAAATATTATGTTAACGTGGTTAATACATACGTTTAAGAAATAAAAACAAAAATATATTTCTATAAAAATGAAATCGCGCAATACGAACGATGATAGACAGATATTTAAAATGTAATCGCGTTATTACTTGTATATCAAGTGGATTCGCAGAATAGAATGTGTATTGTATGATAAATGTATATTGTGTGATAAATTAAAATACACAAAAGCGTAATGTTGTAAAATAAAGTTGTAAAATAAAAAACTTCATTATTATTGCTATTAATATTGTCAAAATACATGTAACAAATTCTTGTTAAAAAAAAATACATGCCTTGCTAACACAATACACCGTTTATTTTAGTACTTGTTTGCAAGTTTTTATTAAAGTCAAATTTTAAAATTATTTACATTGTTCACAACATACTTTATGTCTCACACTCACAATTACGGTCACATCTTTATTCTGACTTATAACATAGATGTACATGATCTGTATACGTAATTTATTAGAAAGTATAATAGCAGAAGAGTCTTACAATAATTTTAAAATAATAATAAAGAACGTAAACAAATCTAGAAATAATAATACATTATTTGTAGTATTTATATATTTTTCTTCTAAGACATAATTGAGAATTGTCAATGGCGAATATATATATATATAAAAAGAAAATGCTCTCTTTTAAATAATGAATATTTACGAAACATGTGTAGGAGATGTAGTCAAGTCGAGCGTTAATACTTTGCTCTCCAAACACTCGCCTACCTATAATTCACATATAATAAATTTAATCAACTAAAATACTGACAAAGACATATAAAATGATTTATGATCAAACAATTTACTCACATCCGGACAAATTCCGATAAGTGCATCCGCGTGCGAATAAAATTCCTCTTTCAACGATATAACAATTGTTTGCAGCGAGCTTGTTTTGTCGCGAATGTAGCTAGCCACCTTTCCTATATTAGTATTATCAAGAGCCGCATCGATTTCATCCAGAACAAAGAATGGCGCAGGCTGGAAACTATATAAGGAATATAAACGAACAGTGAATGTTAATTAATCATCCATCATATTTGAATTATATCATCAATTTTATGTTCAAAATCAAAATATGAACCTATGAATTGCAAATAACAAAGCCAGTGCAGCGACAGTTTTTTCTCCACCAGACAAATTGGACATTGGTTGAAACCGTTTGCCAGGAGCCACGCAATTATAATTAATGCCATCTAAATAAGGTTCTTCAGGATTTTCTGGTCCAAGGAATGCTTGAGCAGATTGATTCTTCGCTAGACTCTGAAACCATAATATACATAAAAATATACATAAAAATATACATATTCATATAATAAAATATATTTATATAAATTATAAATTTATCTGTACATATATAAATTTTTACATAAATTTATTAATGCTTCACAAACCTTATAAATAGGATCAATCTCGTTCGCTACGTGTTCAAAACACGCCATAAATCTATCATGTCGTTCTTTTTTCACTTTCTCGAATTGTGTCTTCGCTTTCTTTGCTTTTTTACGAGACTGCTCAAATTCTTCATTAGTCTCCTGTAATTTCTCTTTCGCTAAATATAATTTTTGAATTGCCTAAAAGAGAAAAAATTTTTATGTCTTTATAACTTTTTGTCTTATAACTTTTTACATTTATCGATATATCATTTCCAATATATTGCAAACCTTCATATTTGGAGCTTGTATGCGCTGTATTGTATTTTGTAAATCATTGATTATTTTTGTTAGCTTATCGGTTGTCTTTTTGATATCCTCTTCTTCCACATCTTTCAGATTTTCGGGCAAAAGCGTATAGTCTATAGTAATCCTCTTTTCGCGTTCATACTGTTGTTGCGTACTTACTGATGAATCATTAATTTCACTTCCGTTCGTAGTGCTCGTTTCACCTGCTATATCTTCCATATTTCCGTATAGCATAGGTATTGCAATATCTTCCATCTGAATATTGTTAAATACACTTAATGATTCAAAAGAACATACATAATATTTATAATATTATGCATGGTCAAATAATCTCACAGTGAAGACTTAACAAACCTTGCATTGCATTAAGACAGCATGTCGTTCAGCCTTCTTCTGTTCAATCTTTGTTTCAATTGCGTTAAACTGCTTCTGAGCTGCCTGAATGTCTTTTGCGATAGTTCCTACTTCACGTCTAGCTTTACCGATTTCATCTTCTTTCAGATCAACCTCCATTTTTTTAGCATTACGAGACGATTTCAATTGTTCCATTTGCTGCTCGTCATGGTCGATCTCCGCTTTTTGATTAGATTCGGTTTGTTTTGCAGATTCCAATTTATCCTCTGCATCTTGCACCGCTCGTTCCCATCGTAAAACATTGCCTATATTATAAATAATATTAATATAATGCAAAAGCTAATCACATATAGAATGTATAAAATAAAATAATATATCTTCATAGCATACTTTCTGTATCGCGCTGTTTCTCAAAATCCAATTGATTATAAATACGATTGCATTGATTATCAAATTCCATTCTTTTCTTTGCTCTTTCTTGTTGCGATCTGGAAGATTATTATACTTTAGTACCTAAATTTAAGATAATACTTATAAGACAATACTTATCTAATAATTCCTTCATACCTTAATTCTCTTTCTTCATATTGACGAATATTGGAAACTCCTATCTGTTCACAAAAACTAGCAAACACGTCATCCTCAACATTGTTCATCTTTTCTTTAATGTTTTGTATTTCTTGGTCTCTTTCAGCCATGGTTTTCTCGATAGCAGCTATTGCAGGCTGTGTATAGAAAATATTAAAATATTTTATTCAAATATGAATAAATATATGCATATATAAAATGTATCACAAAGCTTACACCAAACATGTTTAACTCGTTTTGCAGACCATCTAATTCCACTTCAAGATCCGTAATTTGTTTTTGCTACAATAAAAATTTTGCTACAATTATTCATTATTTTTTAAAATTATGTTATATTTTTGTTAAAACTATTATATATGATGCAAAAACAATATATATAAAGTAAGTAAAAAGTCCGGTGAAATATCATGAAAACAAAGTATTTTTGGAAAAAATGATTTAGACAAAAGTGGGGTTTAAAAAGATCTATACACAGATTACATTCGTTTAATCTTGAATGGTATCGCCAAGGTCAAGTCAAAGTCACATCGATTTTTTAAAACAGAAACTTTCATTTTTTATTGGATATTCTTGTTAGATCTTAAGAACACACTATAATAAAATATTTTAAATATATTTCGAGTTATAAGGTTTGAAAATTACAATACCATCAGCGTTAGTATTACGTCCGACCATTATTCATAACTTGAATAACATTTGTCAAGATTATGGCTATTGGAAATTGTTCCTCTTATTTTCAATTTTACATAAAAATGAATTTTTAGTATAAAATTGTGAGGAACAACCTCCAATAGCCTTAATTTATATCAAAATGTGTAATTAAATGCTGTTATACTAAGGTTAAGAAAGTCACTTTGAAAAGTAAATTCTCACCATTACGCTTCACTTATTGAAAAAAGTACTAAATAACAAGTAACGCCGTAAAATTATTCCGTTACAAGTTACATTAAAAAGTAACAAGTTACAAATTGCGAGTTATTTTTTTCAGTAACGAATAACTTTTCAAACCCGTTATAAATATAATAACTATTGATTGTTTCAACTCTAGTGTTACATTATCATCATAAAAAAATTTGCAATGTTATTACCAAATCGTTATTACAATAAGGTAACTAAATAACTAAGTGAACAGTTATAGTAACTTCCTGGTAACACTTACTGTTGCAGACAAGTCGCTTTTGTTATATTTTAGACGAGTCTCTAAACCACGTATCTGAGATTCAACCGTATTTAATTCAGATTCCTTACGTGATTTTTTCAAAGATTCCCTCAGTTCTTCTGTTAATTTTTCCTATAAACAAAATTAAAATATGTTTTTACCTTTATATTATATAGAAATAAAAATATACCTTTTGCGCCTTTAATTGAGACATCTGTTTTTCATCCCATCTTTTCGCTTTCTTTGCAAGATCCAAACTACCACCAGATATTATACCAGCTTTTTGATAAAATGTACCATCTAATGCGACGCACTATAAACATTTTACACATATCATAGTTTAATTATGATTTTATAGTTTGATTTAAACAAATAATGCATATACTTACATCATATCTTGTTTTCTTGTCCATCTCATAAGCTACTTTATTTGCATCTTCAGGTGTTTCGCATACAAGAGCATTATTAGTTGCAAAGAGAACTGCTCTATCAATATCCTTCGGAGAAAAATGCAACACATCATACAATAATTTCACATTTTTAGGTTCTTGTATATTACTGCAAAATAATATATAATTATCATTATAAAGTTGAATATAAAATAAGATCTTAAAAAACATAAAATGACAAAAAGTTAAAATAAAACTATGTAATAATTTATTTATTTACCGAAGACGTTCTTTAAGCGGTTTAGCTTGTATGTAATCAAGTGGAAGAAATGTTTCCGGTTCGAGATACTGTTCCTTCAAATATTGGATACATTGTCTGGCAGTTTTTTCAGTATCTACTACAATAGCTTCCATGTATTTACCAAGTACTTTTGTAATTGCAACATTATACCGCTTGTGTATTGGTTCGCACATGTTGTACATACGATCGTACTAAAAAAAAAACAAATAAAATCATTTCATTTCAATTTTAAAGAAAGTAGTGAGAAGGGATAACGCACCACTCCAGGAAACAGACGTTTGAAATTCTCCACAATTTCTGTCTTTTTCTTGTTTCTCGATACTTCGTGCTTATCAACCTTAGCATCACCAAGTTGCTCCGAGATGTTTTCCAATTCTCGCTGCAAATTTTGAATCTTATCTTTTGACGTGCCTACGTCAGATTGCAAGTCAGCTCTAAGCTTTTTCTGATCCTCCAATGCAGCCTCCGATGTTTTTATGTGTTCCTCCAACTTTTCTACTCGTTTGAGTGCCTCATCTCGCATATGACCTTTCTGTTTATGCTTGTTTTCTATCTCGGTCTTTTTTCTACCTTCATTGTCGAGCTTATCTTGGTCTGATTTTTGTTCGCGATTGATAGAATCAAGAAGTTGAAGATATCTCGCGGATTGCTTACCAGCTTCCTCTTTTAGACGATTATATTCCTGTACCTTAAATTATTTTGTTAGTTAATTAAATAATTGCAATTATTCATAAATAATTTGCATTTTATTCATAACTACGTTTTATTAAAAAAATAGTTATAAATTAAATAACAATGTGCTTTAAGATTTCACGAATATTACGTAATTTATTTGTACCTGTTCATCTTCCAATTGCACATCTCTTCCTTGTAACTGTGATTGTCCTGCTATACTCGCTTCATAAGCAGCTTTAGCTTCTTCCACCTGACGCAATTCTTCTTGCAGTTCGTGTATATCTTTTTTATGAGCCTCGTCTGCAATACGCGCTTGAGCTAAAGATTTGCGTGCGGATTCCACTTTCTTCTGCATATGTGCAACCCGTTCTTTGGCTTTAATAAACGTTGGTCTTTTCTTTGTAATTTCTACTTCCACTTCCCTGATATCTTGCTCTATCTTAGCAAGATCTCTGGCCAATTTAGCGGCATCTTTTTTCTTCTCTTTCAACAATTCCTCAGCCTTTTCTTTCTTCTTCTCAACTTTTTCAATTTCGTGTTGTTTCTTCTTTTGAGAAACCTCTAAATTTTCAATATTCTTTTCATTATGAAATAATCGAAATAGATGTAAATCTATTTGCTTTTCCACCTAAAAACAAAAGATAAATTTTTGTGATTAACAATTATATAAGTATATACAGACAAGAAAAATAAACAGTATGATATGATAGAGGATGATAGTTAAGTACTTTAAAAGATTTCTAAGAGATGATTTCTTATCTAGATCAATATAAAAATTTCATATGAATATCCGTATATCCAAAATAGTTCAATTTCAAGGGTGTCAAAGTTGAAGGAAAAATTTCGAAATCATTGGATTATTTTGTCCAAATTTTGTGATATTTAAAAGACATAAAAATTTCATTAAACTAACTAGAATAACTAGAATAGTTTTCGAAATTTTTGAAAAAATAAAATTTTTCTTTCAACTTAAATACCGTTTATTTAATTTAAGCCATTGCATTAAGTGTAACAATGTTAATCTTGATTTCGTGTGAGGAATCATATCTTAAACTCTTTTAGATAACTCAATTATCACTGTATATATTATATAATATATACTGTAAAATGAAATAGCTTTAGCACAAAATCGAGATACTTTTGGCTCAAATTTTGACAATGTCCAGACAAACACAAGTCAACATCTAGAAAAGTCTTAAAATATTTTGAGAAGTTTTGTCCGAATTTTGCATGTGTTGTCGAGATATTTTTTTCAATTTTAATCAGTTAATCCCATTTTATAATTTTAATTTTTAATTCAATTAATATATAATATGATATTAATTAAGGGGATTCTTTTCAGTGAAATATAGAAAATTGTAATTAGTAGTTAAAAATATGTACTTTCATTTACAAAAAAATTCGATCCTTGTAATTTATATTTTTTCTAGAAAAAAGAAACATGAAAAATATTTTATGAAACCAAAAGAATTCTATGCTCCCTTAACTATTACAGCCAAATCAAGGCATATACGCACATATTCTTCTTTGAGACGTTGATATTTTTCAGCCTCTTCTTTTTCTAATTTTGCTTCTTTTCTTTCGGCAGCAATTCCTTTCTTTTTTTGATATGAAAATTGGGTTTCTTCTTCAGCTTTTAACATTTCCGTTTTTAGTCTACAATGTTATTTTTATCATTTACAAATGCGTTTCAAGTGCAATTACATATAGCGACATTTGAAACTTACCTTTCATATTCTGTTTTTAATGAACCAGAATTACTGATCTCCTCAAACAGAGCAGTACGTTCCTTTGGATTTTTCATGGCTATAGATTCAACAGCACCTTGGAATACCAAAAAATTCTTTGCTTTAACATTAATACCAAGGTGCTCCAACTCATTAAGATAAACTTGACTGGTAACAACCTATGACAAAAACACATTTCGAAGATCTTAAATGCAACTAAATAAAAGTTTTAACTACAAAACTTACATTATTATTAATTCTGTGTTCAGAAGAAGAACCTTGTACTGAACGCATAAAGCTTTTTTCAGTTCCATTTTCCAACTCAAATACAGCTGTTACTGAAGCACTATAACCAACAGAACAATTTACAGTTTTTACGTAATTCAATATGAAACATACAAATTAGAATGTACAATTTTATAAATAAATATCATGTATACATATATATTACCTTCGTGCTACTGGCATACCAATGGATGCACCATGAATCAGCTCGCTGAATCTTTTGACGCGTAGACTGCTAGTCTTCTCACCCATCACGAAACTGATAGCATCCATAAAATTAGATTTTCCTGTAGTACACATGTAACAATAACACATCACAATCACAATCTACTTATGATCTACTTATATCTTTCAGCATATAATGCCATATCTGCATTCAACGAACTCAATGACTGAATGAGTGACCTTTAGAAAATCAAGATATAACTGACTCAACAAATCTAGAAATGTATAGCTATTCCTGATAAAAAAAACTATCATTTAAGCATTGCATTCGCTGAACGCACCATTGTTGACACACAGAATGATAACCTACCGGATCCATTGGGGCCAACTACAGCCGTAAATGACTTTAGCGGGCCGATAATAAGCTTTCCTTTATAAGATTTGAAATTGTCAACTTCGATATGCTTCAAGAACGCCGGCATCCTTGAAAATAATCAAATAAAACGCATAAAACCTGAAAGTAGCGCAATTGGCGCCACAAAACTTTCAATGTAAGCAAGCAACACCCCACAATGCCCTACAATACTCGAAATACAAGAATGCCATTTCAGGGACGGTTACGACAGCGCGATCAACGCCATCAGTCGGCGGTCTAGCGCAACTAATAGCCAAATTAACTTAAGGTAGTACTAGTATGAAATGATTTTCTTAAGATCCTAAAGCCTCCTGTTTTACCGATTAAATCATGTAATTTTTGTATAACACTTTTTTTCTCTTTCACCGATGCGAGAATCCTTTTCCAGGATTAAAATATATGCATTAATATGTGTATGGAGTCTATGCCTAGAACAATCAAAAATTTCAAAATTGATATATTTTTTATCATTTCTTAGTGAAATAGCGTCTCAGCTGTCAAATCGTGACATTTGCTTGAAATAAATACTTGCAACCTGTACGAACGAAATAGTGGTTCCCAGATACGTAGTTTACGCAAACAAATAACGTCGAGTTCTTAGAATTAGACTTAGAATTAGACGCTTTATCACGACGAATTTGTTATACGAAAATTGACAAAAATGTGCAAATGCGTGTATCATAGGTTGCGTGAGATATTGATGTGATAGTATATAAAAACAGTCGCGCGGCGCAAACTCTGATGACTTCGTCGAAGTTCGAACTTCGCTTTAGGATCCCCTTAAGGGAGCCTTTATATTGACCGTAACCACAGTATATACAGTAGTGCAACTCTCCTGGGGATCAATTGTATTGGGTCATCTAAAAAGTATCCGCGGTTTTTTGTCACTAGATGTGTGTTGATGGTCATATATCTAGTGATAAAGTTCTTCCGCGAATTCTTTTTAGATGATCCAATATATCTTTACCTAAGGTGAAAATTACAAAAGTGAGCAAATTAACTAGAAAATTTATAATTTAATTGGTCAATACCTAGTAATCTCTGCTCACTTTAGTAATTTTCACCTCCTTTTAAAATCCACAATCGATTCCCTGGGAGTCGATTCCGTATCTTCAAACAAGGTTACAAAATTACAAAAGCGAGCAAATTTACTAGGTGTTGACCAATGAAATAATCAATATTCTAGTAAATTCGTTCACTTTTATAATTTTCACCTCAAGATTCAGAGCGGCACGGTTCGTAATTACCTAATTAGTTTCTCTACCGCGTACCGCGCTTCATGTAATCGCATTCTAAGAGAGGACATGATGGCCCAAAACCTGTAACCGCAAAATGCTTGTGACGTTGCGAGCGTTAATTGCGGCGAGTTGGTTCTTCTTTCCGGCTTCCCTTTCTTTCCCTCTCTCTAGTGTTTTGCGTGTGGACCTCGTATAAGCCTTTGCGATAGATAATAGGCTCGGTAAGATTAAGAATTACCTTGTGTTCACTGCGAGATCGACATCGATTACTACTCATGTCATTCGGTAATTGTTAACGTCGTCAGATAAATACTCATAGTATATATTTTCTTAGTTTCCCGTATTCTAATCTAGCAATGCGATATCGATATCCGAGTCGTCTTATGCAATCTCTACTTTTGTAATCTATACTTTCTAAAATAAAAATCAAACTGTGTTAATATATTAAAGACTCTGACGAATATAAATCAAGTGATATAACTTATAAATTGTTGAAATTTATTTTGCAATGTAGTATTTTCTTTTAAGAAAACACACCTTGCATATGAGTCTACTACATTCATGTGTAACAATATATTTTTAGTACAGGATGCGTCAGATATTTGAGGACACTCACATATGTGCTTGTCACTTCGCAGCAATATATTTTTCTTTCTTTTTTCCTTTCAGATCATAAATGGATGGCAATAAGCTAACTCATGAAATGAAAAGACACGCTGTTATCGTCGCTATACACGCGAATCACAGCGATCTTGAAATCTCCGAATTTTTGAATCTCGCCCGATCGTTTGTTCACAAAGTTCGTCGAGAGTTAGAAGTATCTAATGGCAATGTTCAAAGTGTTGCCAAGCGCAAAACACATAAAGCACGTTCAGACACAGTTAGAACATCACAGTTTGTGCAGCAAGTCCAGGGCATTATTGATGAAGACCCTTCAAAGTCCATAAGGGCCATATCAAGAGATCTTCAGGTTTCTGAGTGCACAATCCGTCGCATTGTCCACGAAGACATCCGGTACAAATCATATGTGATGCGCAAAGGTCAGTTTATGTCTGCACGCACTCGAGAACAGCGATTCATCCGGGCACAACGACTTCTAAGCAAGTTAAAACATTCTGAAATCTCGGATATGCTGTGGTTTTATTCTGATGAAAAAAATTTTGACCAGGATCAAAAAGTTAACCGATGAAATGATAGGTGACTATGTGCTGATTCTTCAGAAGTTCTTCATGTTATGCACACAAAGTTTCCGGCAACTGTCATGGTTTTGGGCGTGGTGAGCAATGAAGGACACGTCATGCCACCGCACTTCTTTTCTCAAGGACTTCGAGTGAATGCTGCTGCCTACATTGCGGTTTTGGAAGGAGTTGTGAAACCCTGGATAGATAGCGTGCGTGATGAAAGGCCATACGTATTCCAACAAAAATATCCTATTTATTGAAAATTTCTTTCGCTTTACTAGAAACTGATAATAGTCTTATATATATATAAGACTATTATCAGTTTCTAGTAAAGCAAAAGAAATTTTCAATAAATAGGATATTTTTCATTTATTCATAAAAATAAACATTTTTATTTTATAATCTAATCTTAAAAGACAATTTACAGCTCTGTAGCATTCGGAATTAATTCTTGACACTTAGATTGCTCGAAGATCACGTGATCAAGCTCGCCATCTGTTAGCTGGCATCTCAGATTTACATTGCAACGTACTTAAAATCGTGTTACATGTTGGGCCGTCATGTCCTTTCTCAAGTTTCTCTGGTATACGTTACATATACTATAGCATTTCTCTACTTTTTCGTATGCAATACTTTTCAAGAATAAGGCCCCAGGCCTCTTATTAGCTGAAGTTTTTACACAGTTCATCTTTCTTGCTTTTCTCTCCACGTTGGAGAGAAAAAGAGAAAAGATAAACCGTGCATGCATTCGAAAGCTGAACTTCAGCAAAAAGTTCAACTAAAAAGAACAGGTCTCTTTTTTTAGATTGGAAGATTGTTTTGAGTGATCTATAAATACAGGTATTACGGATATGAACGAAGGTTTTTGAGTTTTTTAACTAATTATAGTAGTTAGAGTATGTATAATTATGTCTAAAAAAAAATTATGCTTCTTATTAATTCAGAAACGGTATAATTATACAGTTTAAGGTCCTCACTTCAAAATAAAATTAGGCTCATTCGACGCGTTTTAAATGAAAAAATCTGGCAGAAAAAAAGTGTCGCTGTGGCCCGCAAATCGAGATATTAATAAGCATTAAAGTTGACGATTATTAAGGTTAAGAAATCTGACAAGAGGCCTAGTTTCCATCGAAGATTTAATCCGGATCAGAATGTAAGAACCAACCAACTATCGAGTATTCCCTTGTTAGGATGAAATCACATGGTGCGGAAAAGAACTGCGGAATAGAGAATGCGTCATTGAAACAACAATTAGCGCTATTCAGAATAACGTAGTGTTACGTCCTGAGGTCCGACCGGCGGTAATCAATACCTGGACAAACCTAGGACTAATAGTGGATGCAAACTGTACTTACCATACGATGATTGTTTGCGGATCTTTTCAGCGGCTCCGCGGTGTTACGATCCGTGGTACGCTACGTGCGGGCTGGTTGGGATCTTGGTTGGTCGAGTCCGTCGTGGGTGAGAGGGATTGGTCCAATGCTGGCTGCCGTTCACTCGCGCGTCCACTTGGTGAGTTTAAGTGAGGAGCAATTTCATGTGATGTATGCCGATTACGTAGGGAAGGTTTCGTTGAGAAAAAGGTCACACTCGCGTATTTATCTTTGCTCAGAAAACAACTTATATATTTTACTGTTATTAAGTTGCACTAAATACATGACTAAATTTATACTACGGTTAGTATCTAACGTGATTAAAATTGACAAGGTCGAATAGAGTTTTACTTATATAATTAGATGAAGTTGCTTATACGAATAGAAATGGAAGATTGGATATAGATTCAAGTTCGAATTAGGAATTTGAGTTAGAGATGGTGTCGGTCCGAACTTTTGTCACGAGAGAGTAAAAAAGGGAACCCAGTTGAGGACTTAATCTTAACTTAACTACTACTCGGTTATCCCGAGGGCTTTTCCGAAGGATCCCCTCCCACGCTGGTGGGGCGCTAGTGGTGGGGAAGGCGTCAGGAGCGGTCTAGGCGGTTTTTGTGCCCTGTCGGTTTATTAAGATAAAGAAAGTTGTGATTCGCCTGGGGATATTTCTGGACAAGTTTTATATGTACCGTGGACGTGACAGTAGAATAATGCTGATTGGTTGCTTTTTGCAGTCGTTTTCCGCACCGTGTGATTTCACCTTTACAGTCGAACGACAGGGGAATGCTCGGCTATAGTTGGATGGTTTTTACATTCTGATCCGAATTAAACCCTCGATGGAAACTAGGCCAGAGACAAAATAAGGGCCCGTATTCAGAACGCGCTTTTATCTCTGAAATTCTACAGTATGCGTAACGTAAATTATAGCATATTAGCATGCTAACATCGCTGTAAGCGCGTTCTGAAAACGAGCCGAGGTCTACAATTGTACTGTTCCACATGGATTTCGACTTTACACGCGAAGCGACTCTCACCCTCCTCCCCTACCCCCTGCAAAGGGACGCACGACTTCTATAATTGTCTCAACTGTGACAGATTTCCTAACTTCAATAATCGTCAACTTTAATGCTTAATATTTCGGTTCGCGGGACAAAGTAACACTTTTTTCTGCCAGATTCTTTCATTTCATCCAAAAACATGTCGAATGAACCTAATTTTATTGATTTTTAAGGTGGGGACCCTAAATTGTATAATTATTCAGAAACCATTTCTTTTATTATAATTTATCAACTTCTTTTCGAAATAATTATCATATTCTATTTGATTTGTAGAAACTATGCCTTCGTGTTGTATTCCAAACTATACTAGTCATACATTTCGTTCTACACAAAAGGCATCACATATTGTATTATTACTTTCCAAAGAAGATTAATATTTGTTAGCAGTGGCTGGATGCTTATGGAAATAGAAAAAATTTAAAAGTTGAATTGGATAGATTGAGTCAAGTATTTGGAATATGTTTATCTGGAGACATAGTAGTGTCTTAGTGTTAATTTTAATAATATCTAGACCTGAAAAAAGAAGCAAGAGTAATCATTATTAATTTGAAGATAACAAGATAATGAGATGTTTCAAATAAAATATAGCAACAATCACTTTTAATATTAGGTGTTGGAATTAATTCGTAGCGTTTTACAAGTGATGGGAAGTACTTTCATTAATGTATTTTTTAATGCTCATGTGAAATAAATAACATTCTTTCATTAAAAAACGCTACGAATTAATTCCAACACCTAATAATTACAATAGAGTTACTGATTGATACCTAAAAAAAGAAAGATTATTATAATTTATCATTTTGTTTCACTAATATACTTACTTTATTACATCATATGTACTTACCTTGTTGGGTGTTACACATTCATTAGAGAGAATGATATTTATCTTACATTTAATCATACTTATTAATGAAACTTGTAAAAGGAAGAATTATTGTTTGTTCAGAACATTGTGAAATTATATGACGTCATTAATTAGTCAAAAAGATAAAGACATCATTATTACACAGGTATTCTTAAACAGGTCACATGATGTCAATAATTTAAAATGATTAACTATCGTTAAAATAACGACAGTTTGCTACCTTGGATTGTAATCTAAAATTATTGTATTTAGAAAAAGATGGGTATATATTAATCATATACGAGCTAACTGCGCACAAGTTAATCACAGCGCTAAAAAAAACAAATTCTCTATGGAGAGATCGCTGTGATTGGTGTGCAAGGACCGACGATAGTATTAAAGACCACTCTGGGCAAATTTTTGTCCTCATAAAAAGCCTCTAAGCTCAGACGTAATTGAAGAACGTTGATATTATCGACAATTGATATAAATTTATAATTATTAACATAAATATTTGGCTAATATATTATTAAATTTATAATTTTTTATTTTCATATTATCATATAAATGCTTCATAAATAAGATGCAGACTTGTCATATATTGCTATTAAATTATAATTTTTTTTTTCTACAATTATCAACTACTCTGTTGATAATCAAATTTGGATTATATCATTAAGGTCCGGTTGCACCAACATTATTCTAATTTTAAGCGAGGTTTAAAACTCTCTTTGTCCCTGTCTTTTTTTCAATTTTAAAACGAGATAGAGAGAGTTTTAAGTTTCGCTTAAAATCAAAATAATGTTGGTGCAACCGGGTCTAAGAGTGCTGTCCCATGACAGTTGAAATCTCGGAAAAGTAATAGAGTGGGGATCAAATCAGAATTATTGAGATGCATTATTGTTCGTCTATACATATATGTACATTAAATACAAGATTATCGAAATTGAATCTATATAGTCTATATATATGAAAAAAAATTTGTTATTAATAAATAATTGTTCGATAAGTATTTATTAATATATATTGGGTCATCTAAAAAGTATCCGCGGTTTTTTGTCACTAGATGTGTTGACCATCAACACCATGTAGTGACAAAAAAGCGCGGGTACTTTTTAGATGATCCAATAAGTATTCATTTTTCCAGCATATAAATATAACTATTTATATTGTTGGGAATAAAATTGCGTGCTTGCAGCATATAAAAAATGTTTGTGGCTGAGTTCTCCATGGAACGATTTTTTCGGAAAACGGACTGTTATTCTAACCTCAAACCGTCTTTTAATTTAAAATATTTTTTATTATCTTCTGTTTTATAATAAAGAAATATCGAAATTTTATTTTTTTGCGGATTCTTCTATTATATAATAATTATCTTTTTCATAAAATGTTTAAAATAAATTTTTTGATTTTTCACAATTTTGGAAATATTAGTCCATGAGGAACCTAGCTACAAAAATTTTTTATATGCTGTCATAAGACTTTAAATCACAGCACTCTAAATCACAATTTTAAAGAAAAATCGAGTATTATTGAGTTTTAACATATTTATTTATATACATCTACGAACTAATAAATTATAAAATTAGTACTATATTATTAGTTTCTTATTTCTAATCATTTATTAACGCGAACTTCCGTAAGGATATCTTTAATAGTATGATCGTTGATGCAAGTGAATCACTCCCAAAAAAAATATTCTAAAGTAAACTTTATTGAAAATTAGAAAAAAAATCCATATTTTTGTTATTGAGACCTCTACATTTTTCAGCTTCATAATATTTAATTGTTAGACTAGACCAAAAACACAAGTTTTTAAATTTCATTTTAGTTAAGGGAATGCTGGAGTAACTGCCTAACTTGATCAATGTCGATAGTACAGATTTAAAAAATTTCAAATAAAAAAATTGATAATAGTGGCATCTTTAATTTATTTCTTACATTATATCTCAACTCATATAATCAATCACAGAAAGATTGCAACACCATTTTTTCGATGGGTTTCGGAATGCGGCTCACCGAGCGATTGGTTTTTATTCATGGAGCTACAAATAATCGCTAGAACTAATCGCTTGGTGAGGCAGCGTTCCGAAATCTGTTGAAGAAATGTATTGCAACCTTTCTGTGACCAGTTGTACATTTGTTTCATCCAACATATTACAACGCCATCTCTTGCAAGATCAAACACCTACTGCTAGACACAATTATTGCTTTTGGAGCTTTCCAGCAGAGGCATAAATCGACACAAGAATCATTCCATCTTTGTTTTTTACTGATTATTGAACAAGGACAGAATGACTTGTGTAATTTGTGTCTCTTGCTGGAAAGCTCCCTTTGTTTATCATTCTGAGTTTTTGCTAAGCATACGTAGATATATACATACACGTAATTTGCAGATCAATATAAATCTGTTTTCTTTTAATCTTGGCTTTACAAACTCTGATAGCAAAATGTTAATAATTTGGGTCCAAATTGGCAGTAAACTCGATCAGATTTTTACTACAAAACCATAACCATCTGTGTCTACATTTTTATTGGCTATAAATTTGTCGATAAAGCCTGTTGACAAGCTATGCCAGCAGATTGGCAGAAATCGAGCAGAGTTTGCTTGAATTAGGTTCTGCTTTCAATCTGCCATCAGATTATGCAGGACTTTATTCGGTTTCTGCTACCAATCTAGCAGGTTTTATCATATTTCTTTCAAAATTCAAACAAAAATTTTAAATAATGATAATTGATATGTATGAGAAAACAAACAATACAGCGCGGTAATTAGTGCGGAATAAATATGTATTAAAAAATTTATCTTGGATCGAATATAAATTATTGATGGACGTTCCAATTTATTTTAAATACATAAATAAACATTTTCAGCAACATTAAAAATACATGATTCTATGTCGATTACAATGTTTTCTTTATCCACAGTTGGAAACTATATTACTTTTAGAGAAGACAAAGAATGAGCTTTTCTTCACTTTCAGATTGAGAATTGCCAATTTATCTCTTTGTTACAAAAAAAAATGACAAATAAGTAATGCAGTAAAGAGTTTTTAAAGTTCATAATTTTCTTAACTCATCTTTTATTTCTATAGATCACAATCATATTAAATGATTCGATCGATGCGCAACACCTTATAACACGTAAAATTTTTAAATTAAATAAAAGTATAAATATCTCGAAAGAGTAAAATCTTTATCCAAACGTGTGATGAACCGATTAATAAATAAAAGATTAATTTAGGTCTACATCAATTCAAAGCAATAACGTAACCTATTTTAATGTTAATTTTCACACACAAACACTTAAGATAGATAATGTAATTGTTTAAATTTTTTAATAATGCTCACATATGAATGATGCAAAAACTTAGTATCTGATTGTAACTTGTAAGTTCGAACTATTAATTTGTAATTGAATATTTAATTATATCGTAAATACATACACGTAAATAAACTTCTTTTTTATCTTGAATAAATTCTTAAAATCTGAAAAACTGCATATTTTTGCATTTCCTGGTTTGTATATAGCATTTTCGACTATAGCGGGTTTGAACTGATCTGGATTAGATTAATGGCTGCGTTCAAGCTTCAGCAAAGAAAACTGATTAGTGGGAGCAGAGTAATTGCAAACAGTGTCTGTGTATACTTGTTGTTCACCCAATGTTAAACAAGAATAAGATTACATGGGGGCATCCGGGTAATGTTCTTGAATACAGCCTTAGTATAACATTTAATATAATAAAAATCTTTATATGCTTTATGAAACATGTCTTAATTAGTACGCAGTACATCGTATCGTTTGTATGTCCAAAGTAACTATGACATTTACTTCTTTACTTCTTTACTTTTACTTCTGACATTCTCCAATTGCAAATCTTTGCTGTACTCTAAGCATCCTTAGGACATTTCTTGGAGAACTATGTTGTATAGTGGAAGAATTTGAATATGATAGGATAAAATATTCTTAAAATAATAATCTTAAAATATTAATAGGATAGCTTATAATACGATGTTTTACCATATTTTCTTTGTGGGTATCCCAAATGGGATATCCGTGGAATCGCTTTATCAATATGGGACAATTTGGGATATTCTCAGGATAAAGTGTACTGTGTGGGTATTGACATAAAATATTGAATACCTCGTAAATTATTACTTTTTTATAATTGTACTTAAAATAAAACTTTCATTAACTGTTACATTTAAAAACATCAAATATTTTGATAAATTAAAAAAATTTTAATATCTAAATAATTTCACAATTGTTACTTTTCGTTTTCGTTTGCTCTTAATGTCCTTATGAGTAAACAGAAGACAGTATATATAAAATATTATATACATATATCGCTTTTATTTTTTGTTGATAAAAAATGTATAATATATGATTTTATTAGGTGTTGGAATTAATTCGTAGCGTTTTACAAGTGATGGGAAGTACTTTCATTAATGTATTTTTTAATGCTCATGTGAAATAAATAACATTCTTTCATTTAAAACGCTACGAATTAATTCCAACACCTAATATATTACAAGAAAGGACAAATAAAAAGAAAATAACGGTAAAAAGAAGAAGGAACATTATATCACGCACAGTCCGAAATTAATAATATTGTCCATAACCATTCCAAATATACATTTCATATTGTATTAAAATTAAAAGGAATTATAAATATGTTATAAACGATATCAAATTATGCAAATCCAATATTAAATAATGAGGAATATAATACAAAAGTATCCAAATATTTTTTATTTGCAGTGCTTCAAATCTAGTCCCAATTAATTTCTTTATAAATTTGTCTTTAATTACAAATGTATATTGGATATATGCATAAAAATGATGACTATACTATAATATAATATATAGTGTAATTAAAACACTATTAAATTACAAACGACGAATAAGAATTGCTTACTTAAGTAAAGACCATTGTTATTGAAATTTCTAATATCAATATCGATAATAATTCTTAATATTTAAAGACAAATAAAAATCACATATTGAAAGATACGTCAAAAGTAATGATCATGATCATGTGTTTTAATTAATTATTTCATTTTATTTGCCAAAGGACAAACTGCTATGAGACTACGAAGAGCATACAAGTTGAAACAGGATGGAGGACGGAGAGGGTGAAACTCGGTGAAAGAGGTAGATCCATGGTGAGAGGGGTGGGGAGATGGAGGGGTAAAGGCGCTATCGGCCGTGAATAATGCGCGGTGGCGTTCGCGTCCCATCTCGTGCATGCGTTCGATTCGGCAACTCGGCTGGATGGATTGATAAAGATTAAAGGTAAAGGGAGGTGGCAGGGTCCAGGGGTGTTTTGGAGTTAGGCGACAGAAGTCAGCCAGCGAAACGAAGCGGGTGCTCGCTCGCGTGGGGGATGATGTCACATAGGGGTTTCCCCTTGTCCATCCCCTTCTTTCTTCCCTCCTCTCCGCCAAGCGTAAATACATACAGATGCAGACCGGATTGATGCATTGACCGAGCGCAGTGACGTAGGTACCCCACGTGTCGTGACAAATTCTTTCCTTTTTCACTCATTGCTCATATCGATGATTTCTGTCACTGTAACTTCGGCACCAATTTAAAAAATTCTCTGCAATTTTAGACTAATCTAGGGCTGACCTCCTGAACTACTTCTTCAAATTGCCTGAATTCACTAGTTAATGACTCTCATATTCTTGCCAGAATAATTTTGTTCAAATTTATTTCAACATTTTGCTATTCTCTTTTGGCAAAAAAATTTTATATTATACAGTCATTATATACTTCATATTATACAGTCGAGGAATATTAAAAATATTATAGATTTCAGATCAAAGAAGAGATTTTTAATAAAAAACCGAAAGCATAATGAAAATATATTAAGAATGTAAGGTTGTCTGACAAAAGCTTGAAAATTTTTTTGTTTAATAGATCGAATTTTTTAATCGATTTTACTGTTTTCTTTTTCTATCATTTTCATAATATATTCGTCACTCGAATTTTTATTGTATCTTGCGTTTATCAATGCGTATCCAGTAAGCCAAAGCAAACAATGTGCCATTCTTGTCTCGATGATCAGTCAGCGACGTTATCTTTGTGAAAACACTACTGCATGAGACATTAATTTTTATATGATAGCGTGCTAATCATGCCGAAGTAAAAATTTCGTATATAATTTTTAAATATATCAGCCTCTATTCTCTTAAAACCCTTTGTCAGCAATGAAAAATTTTCACTTTTTGTTCGGAATCTAAATCGAACTTCAATGCAAATTTTTATATAGCTCCGAATTGTATAAACATCTTTAAAAAAATTTACATACTTATGGAAATTTTAATAACGAGTTTTTATTATCATAGAAATTGAATTGTATTTTACTTATCTTTTTATACAGATTTAAATTTATCTACCAGAATTCATGAAAAATTCATTAAAAAATTGACCATACCTTTAAAATACAGTATTGCTGGAGGTTAAACAACTATTGTTATCAATACAAGAAACGCATTTTTCCTTTATTTAAACTATTTTTAAGTTATATTATTGAAAAAATATTATAAATAAACATAACTAATTTTAATTTTTACATACTAAACATATTATATAAACTCGTGTAAAAGCGAAACAATCCCATTTAGAAATAATCGACAATTGCATATCGATTCGACATCGATAAGTTATATTTTTCTCTGGGAAGTGCAAAGATGGAAATTATAATTAAGCAATCGAATATAATTAGTCATTATCATTACAGCTAACAAAAGTTTCAGTTATTATAAGATAGCAATAAGTTTTATTCTGTTCAGGAAATATTAACAACTTCGGTACCAAACTTTGATAGGAAGAAGAGTTATGAGCAAAAAATTACCATGATGCCTCGGAAGATAAGAAAGCTCTTAGAAAAGATGTTCTACGCCAATGCTAGCAGAGTTTCACTCGCCTCGGTATGACTCATGCGATCTCTCTCGCAGCTTCCCCTGCACGGTCCCGTATCGTAGTCGTGCACAATGGAGAATAGCAAATGCAGTAAAGGTAACTCACGTTCGCTATGGCTGGGGCCAGCAATACTAGTCCGAGTTCTCCCCTTGTTCTTCCTGGAGTACCCGCGGGCCACGTGTCATGATTTTCACCCCCGTCGCTATATTCTTCCAGGAGCGATTGTAACAACGATCTCTCGTCTCGTCGTGAGATATATATTATATCGTTTCTACGCGATCGCGGGCGGATTCAACCGCTTGTGTCATCTCTATCTTATCATAATTTCTTCCGAATCTCTCGCGATTCTTACATTCACAGATACAGATAATACCTATGAACCATTTTATATCCTGCAGTTGTAATATTAAATGATGCATGTCGGAAAGTACGTTAATCGTATATTGTAACTTTATATTTCGCAAAAATATCGATACCTATGAATTTATAAATTGCGCATAAGTTTATCTTTAATAAAATGATAAAAATGTATTTTGTTTGTGTATTTCCATTCCTGTTTATTAATTTATTTTTGCCAATGTAAATTAACTTTAATCTTGGTTTAATTTATTCTTTATTTTTTTCTAATTATAGAACTAAAAAAGATAAAAAGAAAATTAAATTAAAATTAAAGTTAAGTGTTTCTATGTTAGTTGAACATTAATACAATTTCTTGGTACTATGCATGTGTATAGAAACATATCTGACAAACGTTAAAATATTTATAGAAGTAATTTTTTATGTTTAATAATAATTAAAATGAAATTATTTGGACATAGATATTGCTTTTATCTGTATTTATTTTTTACTATCGCAATAAGTAAATCTTTCGCAGTACGCTAGTAGGTTGGCAATAAATTTAATTTAAAATTGTTAGCAAATTGGCAGCAGAAACCAAATAGAATTGGTTGAATACAGGTTCAGCTTTATTTCTGCCATCAATTTACGTCAAAGTTTGCACCACATTTTACAGAGGTCTTTACTACATTCTACAAACTTCTACAAATTACTTTGTTAGCATTCTACAAATTGCATTGAATATGTCAAATCTTAATTCTAATCTTTCTATTGACCAAAATTTATAATAGACTTTATAAAATTTGTTCTCAACAAACTTGGCTGTCTTTTATTACTTAATTTCTAGTATTTCAATAAAAATAGCCTATTTATATATACGTACTTGCTAAATGTCAGAGAAACAATTAGTTACTATTAAATGTACTTTGCTTTAATTTGTTAATTATAATAAAAAAATAAAAAGATAAGAAGAAAATGACGTATAGTAGAAAAGAAAATTTTAATCAAAGTTTTTGTGCTGCGTGATGAGACTCGAAAATATGAGATGAGAGAACGGAACCGTAAACGACCAATTCATGTGGCGAGCGCCTCGGCGAAGATCCTCAATTAAACAATTATACTTAAATTGAGTGAAATTCCCACCGCGGTGCCCGCATGTTCGTTAACGATCATCATTCGTGCGCACCTACGAGCTGTTAAGGTATACGCAGACACCGAGCTAAATAGCCTTTGATCAGGTACACGTGGACCCACATGTATCGAAATTTATGAATCATGAGATGGCTGAAATTGAGATTGACGATAAGTCTACGATTATAGTAGATGAGCGTACGGGTGCAGAGTCGCTGTGGTAATTCACACGGAAATAATCGACCCTGCGAAATAAAATCCTTGAAATAAGCGAAGATACTATACTACTAAGGGAAAAATTGGTATAAAATATTTTCCTTATTTTAAGGATTAGAAAGAAAAAGAAGAAATATAAACATTAGTATACATAATTATTAAAAAATACATTTAATTTTATTAATTTTTTATAGAAAAAGTGTAAAATAAATCATAAAAATATAATAATGAAACTTTATGCTACAGGAATATATAAAACGTAATAAAGTATTATGATATATCTAAAAAATACAATAATTCTTTTCGATGAAGAACAATTAAGATAGTTTAGTACAACAATTTATAATTTAACCTACTTTCGAAAACTTGAGAGAATTAATTAGATATCTTCAGAAGTGTGTGTGTGTGTGTGTGTTAAAGATCTATTATCTTGAATTCTAAAAAAGTGGCTTAAATACAGAGAAATCTTTAATCACGTTTGGAATCTTATATAAATCAAATTATATTGTATAATGTCGAATTTTATTTTGATCTAATTTTATTCTAATTGATTCTCTACTACTATTTTTCCATCCGTTGTTCAATCCATATTGCTATCAAATAATTCGTAGAATTGTAGATAGAGAAGAAGTTTTTCATAGAAGAAGAAATTAATACTGTAGAGAAATTCAATATGCGTATGAATATGCGCAATATAATCTTTATTTACGGCTTACGTGAGTGCCCTCACCTTTGCTCACTTCTGCACACGTTGATAGCGATAAGTCGCTCTGCTTTATTTTCCTTGTTGGCCGCAACATCCTCTCTGTCGGCTCTCCTATACTCGATTTCCTTTATTGTAACGCCGACAGCATAATTATATCATTATTATTCATGTAAAAGAAATTGTAATATTTTCTCATACATCCATAGAAATAATTTTGTATAATAAAAAATGTAATATTTATTTGTGAAAAAAGTATAATAAATGTATGTATAACTTAATGATTTGAAAAAATTATTTTTATAAAAGTATTATATATTCTCTTTGGTTCTTCCTCATATAAACTTTTAAAATAAGAAAAGAGAATCGAAAAATAGAAATACTTTGAAACAGAATACATTCCTGTGATCAATTTATTTAATAGATAGTTCTAAACACACATCATATATTGAATTAGAACCAAAATTCATAGTCTTCATTTGTATTATGTCCACATGCTTTTTTAGTAATTATACAATACTCTTCGATAAAGTAAAGTTTTAGCTTCGAAAATCTGTCTTTTGAATTGCGATAAGATGATTCTTAACGATGATTTTTACGGAATCATAAACAATTTAAAATCAAAATGTTCCTTTTATGTATTTAACTAAATCGATTTCAAATCGGCAACAAAAAAATCTTGAAAAATCTTAAACATTAAAAAAATCGTTTGTAGGAAAAACTTTAAGCTTTCACGTTAGAAAGTCGAAAATTATTACAAATTTTTTTTTAGCACATAAAAGGTTCACAAAGTGAAAAGATAAGTTTCCATTTTATTTAACCTATTTTTTACATGTTAAAATTATCAAACTTACAGAAACTCAAAAGGTATAGATCTTTTGAAAATAGAAATTTTATGTTTTAAAATTCTTTTTCTTTAATTAAAATTTCGTTTATTTTTAATTAAATTACAGCTGCTTGAATTTTTAAATTTTTTTTAAATTTATTTTCACTACGAACTTTTATTCCAACCAATACTTTTTATTTCTGCTTAATGGACATGCTAATATTTAAACGATATTAAATTACAAATTTTGACTACTTTATTTTGAAAACTGTATATTGTTTTCAATCATATACAGAAGGACTAAGAATCATTAAAATCTAGGATAAAATTACAGCAGCGTTAGCAAACTAGCTCTTAGTAATTTTCAGCACAGTACTCATGTATTCCGTGGAATTCACTCTCGGTATCCACTTGACGACTTTAGTATCCCATTATCCAACGAGATACATGAGAACGTGACGTTTTCGCGGATAAGAAAATAGAGGGAAAATCGTGGAGACAAAATACGTATAGACGTACAGACTCGGCATGTCAGTATTTAAACACAAGAAAGTAAGACCAGGGGAGAAAATCGGCGGTCCATTGTGCTCAGGTGTGAGGCGTGTGCACGATGGTAGGATCTGTAGGGGTAATCAGGAGCTCAGGGGAA